TCTCTCTCCCACTGTGTGTGTGTGTGTGTGTGTGTGTGTGTGAGTGTGTGTGTGTGATGTAGTTTATGTGCCAGTGATGGTGTGTTTGTTTGTATCATGTGGATATCTGCGTATGTAAAGTGTGTGCGAATAAATCTGCGTTATTAAAGTCTATGTATGTGTGTATGCGCGTGCGTGTTTTTCTGTCTGTTTGTCTGTCTGTCTGTCTTTGTGCGCACGCCCCTTCATCTCTCTGTCGCACTTTTATATGTGAGTTATGACCCTTTTCCATGTTCAATTACTAATGTCCCCCCTCTCTCCCCCCTCCCAGTCTCAATTGACATCCGAATATAACCTCCTCGTCCAAGAGGGTGGATCCAAAATAAGTTGAGAGCTTTGAAAACTCCACAAATCGATCAACGTTCAAAAACACTCAGTGTCGGTTTCGAACCATTACCATCCACACCGTAGTCCAACACGATACTAAAGGAACGTCGACAAATTAGGCACTGCACTTGGGAATTTTTGGCTGAAAGCCAGACAGTGTGGACTTTTACAACAACTCCCTTACAACTATTTGAGAATTTCTCCGTCCTTTCATGTTGAAGTAAAAATCCTTTTTTATAGAAGATCAGTTCCTCCAAGCGGCGGCGGGTACTAAAAAATATGACAGATATTGCTCTGGGAAAGTAAAATGAAAGCTACCATATTCTTTTTATTTTGATATTTCATTCCATCCTTTAAAAACCAATCTCAAAGCAATGTGTTTATGATTTTGACATTTCATCGCTTAAAATTGGATTCCAAACCAGGGGGAACAATATCGGGGAATAGAGATATTACATTCACACATCCCATACGTTAATGTTGGGTCAACACGATATAAACGAATTTTTCTGAATGAGAAAAACACATCCATGCTACCCGCTTCGCTTTAAAAAAATTTAATGTCTGTCGAGAATCAGGCTTCGCGTCATGGCCTCACCAGTCACCATTGTCTGGTCTTTCATCGACGCTATTGGATGAATTAGTTGATGGAGTCAGTTTACTTCACATGTCTTTGGATTCTCCGACCTCTAATCTCTGTGCCAGATTCCCCGAGTCCCCGAGACAAAACAAATCTAGGAGCTGACCTTTTGCCGCCATCTTCGGCTGATTATGTCGGAGCTGGTGCCTTGACCTATCCCATCTGACCTCTTCCCAGAGGGGCCGAGTTCACATCTCTCTCTGTCTCAGTCTCTCTCTCTCGCGCACACACACACACACACACACACACACACACACACACACACACACACACACGCACACACACGTACACACATAGACACATACACACACTCAAATCACTTGGAGACGCAAGAATACAGCTGTGGCGTCCACCATAATATAATGTCAACAAAAGTATTGCCCAGTCTCTCTTTCGTCCATCTGTTACCTCACAAACGTCTACTGTCCTTATCTCTCCTCTTTCTTTTCTTTGTATGGTACTCTCTAGTAACACCTCTACTCTCCGGCATTTATATGACTTATTTGAGATGCAAATGTGGTACAACCCTTACTTTTTACTTTTTCCCTTCATCTGGTGTCCAGACCATCAATGATTTATTTATAGAGGCACCAGCCATCCATGTCCAGGTGCTGTTTTAGCCTCTTTTT